AGGCTCAGATAGGAGGATCTCTTGAGGCCAAGAGTTCAAGACTGGCCTGAGCAACATAGTGAGACACTGTCTCTTAAAAAAAATGGTAAAAAATTAAAGGTTAAGCCACTTATCTGAAGCTGTATAGCCAGTCAGTGATCAAATTAGGCTTTGCACCTAGACCTGTCTGGCTCCAAAACATGTTTTCCCCACCAAATTGGGTGAAGTACAACAAAATAATGTATTTCTAACTATAAAGGATATGTGTTGTGACCGCATAAATGATCCCACGAGACATGGATGGACAGTACACGCTGCAAGAGGTGAGGCTAACCATAGGTGCAGGATAGCACTGAGCACTTCTCGCAGAGTCCTTTTATTGAGAAGATACATAATAGGCGGAAAGATTACTAAGTAAAGATATGCAGGGGCTGCGTGCTCAGGGAAATGACCTCATAGGTATCAACAGAGTATGTACTCAAGGAAATGATCTTCAAGGGTGGTAAGGAAATGATCTTCAAAATACTAAATGCAATTTTTCTCCACTAATCTTTTAAGGAACTGTCATAAAATGCTTAATGTTTAACAATAGCCTTACTACTACAGGACTGAACTTGGCTCCTCCAGGATTACTGAGTTACTTGGTGGCTTGCCTTCCAAGTCACAAGAGATTTCCAGGCTTGCCAGGAGAATATCTTGTTCTCAGTAATTCCTCAGATGAGTTATGATATTGGTGACTGTTGTAGTAAGTATGATGTTTAATCCTCTATGTTTATATTTTTTAGAAAACTATTGAAAAACATCACTTTTTTTTTGGCTTTTTTTTTTTTTTAATAGTAGGCAGTGGTGATGGGAGAGTGTGTCTGTGTGGGCCAGTTTGTTGAGCGCATGCTTCTCAGCCTCACGGGCCTGGCATCAGACCCTGGGCCAAACAGGAGAGTGCTGATCTCTAAGGCCCTGTGGCAGATGCTGTGGGAAGAGGCCTGGCGAGCACTTTTTTCTGATCTTACATGTTCTGAATAAACTCCATCAGTCATTAAAGGCAGCAAGTGGATTTTTTCTAGGAAATTGTGGCAAGTTATGTGATAACATACTTGAGATTTATTATGTGAACTAGGATATTAGTCTTTATGCATATTATTTATACAGTTGCCAAGGACACAAATGTTATTCAGTCTTTATACTTGATAAATACATGCCGAAATATAAAACATCACAGAGCCTTCTAGAATGACCTGGGAGGTTATGAAAGGTAGCAAATTTAAGCCTTAATTCCTGTTAGGTTTTAATGGTGTTATCTTGTAGTCAGTAGAAGAACATTCATAACCTAACCTGGTTGGTTATTCTAAACCTGAGTAGGACTTCATAGAAGCTTTGTGTTCCTTGGATAGTTTATTTCTACACCATATTTATGGGAAAATACCTTCAACTGTGCCCTGCCCGTACATTTCTTGCCACTTATGCCCTGCTCTACCTGTCCAGCAATCTACTCCTCTTGTGTTCTACACGTTGCCATTTCTTTTGTGTGGTAGGGGGAGAAAAGATAAAAGTAAATTTTAATTATTGGGGACCATCTTTAAAATTTAAGAAATAATCTTTGAGGGTATTTTATCATTTGAAAGGACGTCTATATGCGATCCATAAAATATGACTTACTGTCCTGACATGTTAACAAAAAAATGAGAGTGTGTTCTTGAGCACAGTTCATGGCACATGCGATTCAGACTCACGGTGTCTTTCCTTAGCCTGTTTTAGAAATGCCAGTAACCCTCATCTTGAAGTCGTTGATGAGACCATCTTAGCTTTGCAGTCAGATCGGGAAAAAGATGTTCCCTTTCTTGGCCACCCTGGAACACACACGACACAATATTACAGACGCTAATGTCCTAGAAAAACACGTACTCCCTGGTGAACGTCGTCTGCTGGTCTCCTTTTTGGCACCTGTTGCTTATAACTTGAAGGGGGAACTTACTGTACTTATAGCCAAGGGGGAAAATCTTTCTGAACCTTTCTTACCATATGTTTGAATTGCCTCTTTCCCGCCTGCACCCCTAAGGGACAGAACCCCCATTGGGGGCTTATTCCAAATGGGTCTGCTCTGTGCCTCCCTATCACTACAAGTCTAATCTGTCACCGTCTGTAGAAAGGTCACAGACCCAGGCAGCTAACTGGGGATAGTGGGCTCACCATCAGATTACCTGCCACCCATTGGTTTTCTCTGACAGATTGACTATATTATTTGAAGTCCCTCCCCATAAAATAGTTCATTAGAAGCTTTTGAGTCTTTAATAGACTTGAAGATTTGTTTCCTTATGCTTTCTGAAAAGTTTATGGCATTTTATTTTTAACAGAAATACCATTAAAATTTACATATGTAAATACCCTTGTAAGGAAGAAAAGTGTTACTATGAGCTCCCTATTAGTGGGCTGGACAAAGACATCATTTCAATTTATGCTGCACCTTGAGTTGCTACAAATGTAGTCCAATTCATTTACTTTTGAAAAATATGATAAAGAGATGCACTAAGGAATGATTCATGGCAATTTTTTAAATAATGTACTTTTGTTATAAATTACACTTGAAACTTTTTCTCAGATGCTAACTACTCTGCTTCAGGTAGGAATTGTATCTGTGAAGGTATGTGTTGCCCTCTGATAGAGGCAAAGAACTAATAGATTTTTTTATACAGGGTGTCTGTAAAGTTCATGTGCACATTTGGGTATTGACATGGGTATAATGTCATGTTAAGAACTTAGGAGGGGGGCAGTGCCTGTGGCTCAAAAGGGTAGGGTGCCAGCCCCATATGCCGGAGGTGGCAGGTTCAAACCCAGCCCCATCCAAAAAAAGAAAAAAAAAAAGAACTTAGGAGAGGAACTGGTAATTGGGATGCATAGATTCGACTTTATATCTAATACTTTAGAATCCTAACAAAATAGGAAACAGTTCTGATCAGAATTTGCCCCCCAATTCTTCCCACCAGTAATTCTGGAGGTTAAATTATGTACTCTTTAAACTGACCTAAGCATACAGCACTTAAATTTCATGCTTTTAAAATTTAGACCAAGAGAAAGATGCTCTAATTTAAACAAGTTTTTTTTTTTTAAATAAGGATTTTACAGACATCTTGTTAAATTCTGCATACATGTGTAGTCATGTTTTTCTTGTTTCTATTTTTAATGTTCTCCAAGGTAGGCATAAGGGAAGGAAGGAGCAGCCCAGGCAGGGTTCAGGAGGTAGCTGCCAAGGGCACGTATGCTATTTCTGTTCTTCCCTTCCATCTTTCCCTAATCTGTCTTGTCTTTAACGTTTCTGAAGCTATATATTGAATTTCCTGGTATACAGGATGTCCCCCGCCCCCTTCCCAAATTCCATGGAACTGGTTCTTAAAAAAGAAGGGAAGGAAACTAGACTGTGCCAAAGAAAACAAGCTCCATGTATGATAATGTTAAATTATAACTCAGGGTAACATTCAGGCAACTTCAGCAGAGAGTGAGTTAATAAACTGGAAGCTTACATATTAAACAATCTATCTCGGGTTTAATACTTGCCTAAAGCAAATAGATGGAGATGTTGTTTTGCTTCAGTAACAAGCAATTTTTATTTTTTTTATTGCCTAGAAATTGAGATTGTCATGTTGTTAAAATCTGTTGATCTAGAAGCAAGTAAGGTTATTCAACTGGAATCTTGTTTTCTATGCAGAGCTTAATTTTCCATTAAGGAAAAATATGAGCTTCAGTCTGTGTTGTGATCTGTAGAATCTGCACGCTGAATCATCCAGGGTACTTGTAGAGATTAGAGAGACTCTTTGGTAAATAACCTTTACAATATCAGTTTACATGTTGAAATTTTTCTCTAATGCCTTCAAAATAAGAGTTTTTTTATGGCTGTAATTTCTCTGCAAAAATTTTAAAAGCTTATTTTTTTTGTAACAAAACATTTTCTAAGATTGTTCTGGTTTCTCGTGCCCTTTTCTCTAGCATGCCCTCCCCACCCCCACATCACTTTAGCTGTTCGTATCTAATTGTTCGTAGGTACCAGTGTGAAGTGTTTGTAATTTGACCACCACATGTAAGCTTCCTGTTTACTTCAACACTCAGCCTCGGCTCTGGGTGAATTAATGGAAAAACACAGATGGGTTTCTCACAGACGCAGCTCTTGAAAGATGTCTTAACAATAGACTCGTCACAGCCTTGCCCAAGTGGACATCTCTTCCCTTGTTAAGTATTGTTATCAGCACCTTTCTCCCTCCAAGGATTCAAGAGCATTTTCAAAGTTGGATTTTGAGGCAGCTTTGCGAATTTCCACGAAGGTCTCTCCACTTTTGGAGTCCATCGCCGGGACCAGATCTTGACCAGATCTGCTGAAAGGGGTCATATTTCTGCAGTGTTCGTTTTCTTATTCAGGCTAGACACGTTTTTAAGCAGAATTGAAGACTGCACCTTACCAGTCTGTAAACGATGCATACAGTGATTTAGAGCGTTATTCACAAATAAGTCCTCCAGGTGGTTTGGTCCAAATTATGCAAAGATTGTGTTTTAAACAGACACGAGGAAGAGGTAATTATTTTCCTATCAGCAAGAATCCTACTCCCGTTTTCCCAGTGGTGGAAAAAAACCTGACATTAACAGCAGCTTAGAAGCTTCTAGGAGGATTTGGGGAGGAGGTCAGCCTGCAGTGGGGGCGGAGACGGGGGCTCCGGGCTGGTCGTCGGAGCGTGGCTTCTCGGCTACGTGTCTGGATTTATCCTAATCAATCTCCTGGGTGTTTTAGGAAGCCCCGTCCCCTTTTTCGTTATTTAACGGTCTCCCGCGGCCACGTGAAACTGCGCCTTTGTTCATGGCCGGGCCACCTGGGCTCCCGCGGGAAAGGCTGGGGGGCCCTGGGGCCCCCCCCCCGCCTGGGGTGGGACCTAGAGCCTCGAGCCGGCGGGGCGGGGTCTTCGCGATCGGGAGGGGGCGTGCGGGGTGATGGGCCCCGCGGGGCGCCGGGGGCGGGCGCTGCGGGTCCTCCGGGGGCGGCGATGACGCGCGGCCACCGCACTCGAGACGGGGATGACGCGCGGTCCGCGGCGCTGCCATGCAGAGGGCGGCGGCGGCCGCGGTGGGGGCGGGGGCCGGGAGGGAAAGACCCTGGCTGGCGAGGCCACATTGGGCCGCTTTCCGCCCGGGCCAGTTGGGTACATGGGGCAGCTTTGGGTCCAAGTTGGGCTCGGTCGCCTCGTTGCCCCTCCTTGGGCAGGCCCCAACCTGGGCTCGCAGCCGCCAACGGCTCTTCGGGGACCGGCCGGTCGGGAGCCCATCGGTGGAACTTGCCCCCGATGTCTTCTTCATGCGGGTGCGGCTGGAGGAGACTGGGGAGATATTCCGAGTGATAAACTGCCACAATGACATGACCGTGCGGGAGTTCAAAGAGGAGCTGGATCTGATGGTCGGGATCCCCTTCAACCTGCAGCGGCTCCAGTACCTCGACCAAGGTGGCTCCTGCCCCGCCCAGCCCCTTCCCCGGCAGGGTCAGGGTGCTCCCTCCACCCAGGGGCTGCCCAGTCCACTTTTGCACTTGAAGTCCCAAAGAAAACTCTGCCTACTGATGACACACTCCCCCATGTCCAAGAAAACCTCGACCACCTTGAAACCTTACATGGAAGAGCCACCTGGGATCTTGGCTTCCCAGTTCCAAACACACCAGATTCGCGTTAGAGCCCTATTCTGGAGGAAACCCTGTCCACAGCAGGAACTGGCTCCACGAGCAGATCCTGCCAACACAATATCCCATCCGTACCAGGACCTCGAATCTCAAGCTCCCCTTATCTTCACAAGGGACCCAAGTCCCAAAGCCAACCTATGCTCATGTAAGACTTGCCTAAACACAACTCGTCACCCGCAGAACCCCCCAACCCAGGGCAAACTGCCCAAATAAGGACCCCAAATTCAAAGCAAACCCCAAGTCCTTATTCATGCTGGGCTTGTGAACATCACAAGCCCAATTCCTGTAACCAGCCATGTCCATGTAGGAGCACCAACGTCCAAAACAAATCCTCTGATCTCAGTACCCCAGACCCAGAGCAACTCTGCCCCAGACTGAGCCCCAAATCAACAGGCTAACCATGACTACCAAGAACTGGTGTCACCCATGAAAGGTGTTTAAAACTCAACCCTGACCACCTCAGGACCCCAGAAGTCCAGAACATACCTACCTGCCCAACACTGACCCCTAAATCTCTGGGCTAACCATGACCACCTCAGGAACCCAAATCCTTTAAGAGCTGTGTCCACGTAAGGCTGTGAAAGCTCAAAAGAATCTTGCCTATGTCAGGACCCTCAAACCAAGAACGACCCTGGCCAAATCTGAACCCCAAATTCCCAGGCTACCCATATGAACATTAGAACCCAAATCCTTCACAACCGTGTTCACCCAGGGGTAGTAAAACAAACCCTGCCCTCCACCAGACCCATATGTCTATGAAAACTTTGCTCACATTTGGACCTCAACCCCGCCAAGCTACCACTGGCCCTAAATCTCAGAGTAGACTCTTCCCACAGCGTGACTCTCAATTGCAGAGCAGATATGCCCAATTCTGAGCTCCCAATCTCCAACTAAGACTTGTATATCTGAACCCCAACCACTAGCCACTTCTGTCTACATAAGGATGACAGCCCCAAATGACCCCGCCCACATCTTGGACCCCCAAATTCAAAGTCAACTCTGCCCACATTGGAAAGCCAGTTTCCAGGTTCATCATTATGACATCAGAACCCCAATCCAAGCGAAGTATCCTCGAGAGGGCTCCAAAGAGTGTGACTAACACTGCCCCAAGACCCCAGTGCTCAAATCTCCGTGAAAACCATGTGTATATCACCATTCCTAGGCTGAAGCTAACCATTTCCATTGCCTCACAGGAGGGCCCTGAAACTCAAATTCAGCCAACCTTATCTACACTAGAACCCCAGTTCTAGACCAAACCTTGCCTTTATTGTAACCCCCAATTTTGCAGCAGCTCCTATAACTCAGACCCCCAAATCTCAGGGCAGGTTGATCTCTCACCCCCAGTTGCCATACTACCCAGGGCTACCTCAGAACCCCAAATCTGAATATAAGTCCTGCCCATATAAGGATTCCAAATCCTGGGACAGACCCTCCCCACACTAGGACCCCCAGGCAGGCAGCAAACCTTGATTTCATCAGAACCCCAAGTCAAGAGTACCTTTTGCCGTGTCAGGACCTCAAATCTCAAAGCAAACTCTATCCCTAGTAGGACCCCAAATATTGGCACTAACCCATATCAGGATCCCAAATTCCAAAATGTGTCCTTGTCCACGTTGGCAGGAGCTCAAAGCTAGCCCGGCCAGAATCAGAACCCAGCACTCAAAGCTCTCCGTGGCTAACTCAGGACCCTAAGGCCCCTCTTTGAGATAAGTCCCATGTGGTAGGTACTAGTGGAGGCCTTCGGTCTCTTTTCCTCAACGTGAGGACATGGCTTAAAGCTCTATCCCGATGCTCTACAATATTTAGGATATGAGAACAGGAGCAAAACCCCTGGGTGCCATCATCTCCCCACCCAGTTGAAATCAACGCAAAACATTTCAAGAAAACGAAGATAGAAAAAGGTCCCTGGGCTGTTGTACCAGGAGTGTGAACAGCTGATATTGCAGGGAGACTGCAGTGGCACTGCAGGGGCCTGGAAGCCGTGGAGACGAGATCTGAACGCAGCCTGTCTCCATGAGCCCGGCGCTCCCAGCACTGCCCTGCCTGGGCTCAGTTTTCTAATCCATAAAGCAGAGCCCTGAGCGCTAGAATTCTTAGTGCTCTTTCGTCGATAGGCAAAAATGACTCAGGAAACTTACCACGTACAGTGAAGCCTAAATACTTTCCTTTGCTCCCTTTAAAATAGGTTAAGCATTTGTTATGATATCCTTGTTTTCCTATAGAGTATTCGAAAGATGCTCTTGGGCATCTTTGAAGCTTTATTTGGAAAGAAATGTGTCTTGAGCTTAGTCTGTATTTAACATGTTAAGAACGAGGTGAATTATTGAAGAACTTAGTGAGAGTTCCCAAACAAGTAATTTGAAAATTATGTCTCCTCAACTACAAATGTTTGGCACCCCTTCTGTTCATTTATTTTCACTGATGAGCTTGGCTGAGCTATAAATTCAAGCAAGCTAAGAGGGGCCGAGAAAGATGGGGTGATTTAACAGTGATGTCACAATGTTATCACTCAATAGACACTTAGCTACTGTTGGAGGCCTGACCTCTCTCTGCTGTTGCTGTCCTTACCCGTGGATGGCAGATGAGAAAAAGAGAAGGCCCTGCTCTGTCATGAGAAGAAATTTGGCTACTGCCTATAAATAATCAGTTGATGGGGGTTGGGGAGGGGCTTCTACCCACCTCAAAGGTTATGGGACCAGGAATTAGGGAGAGGGGGAGGTCAAATGAGATCATGAGTGTGAAAGACTTCGAGATACACAAATCTAAAAGGCATGAGCAAATTCATGGGCGAGGGTCGCCCTTATACTGCTAGTGTCAACTCTGCTAATTTATTCAGCTGGCGATAATTAGTATTTGTCTAAGCCCAAGGCACTCTGTCTGAAGAAAGAGGGTGTGCTCTGATTTCAGGAAGCCCCGTTGAGCATGTGTTCAATTGTACTCTTGTATTTCTCAGAGAAACACGGCTTCACTTGATATTTTCAAAGCTGTCAGGAAGTCAAGTTGTCTTACTCAGACTAACTACTGATTCCCTCCCACGTTTAAACCACTCATAGGACACGGACAGATTTGCTAGTCACTATTCTGTTTACATCCACCATCCCAAGTTTCTGGTGAGCAAATGATGTCAGCAGAGCAGAGGGGGCGAAGCACGTGGCCCCGTAAGGCCCTGTGTCCGGCAGGTCTGCCGATGGTGCCAGCGTGGTCCTTTCCTGGCAAACAGATAAGAAAGCACTTTGGGGGCTGCCGTGGGGATTTAAGAGGTGCAGGCCCAAAGGTACTTAGTATATAGGTACAGAGTTGTCCACAACTCAGTGAGGAAACCAGAACTCTCACGAGTTCCACTCACTTGGACAGATGACAATTGGACCCGGGCAGTGCCCAGACTTGAAAAAGAAACCGCATTACATTGTTATTCTTTTAAGCAAGACTGTAAGTGGTCTTGCAAGAGAATACTCGTGCAGGCGTATGTTTAAAAAGATAAAACTACAACTGCACTTTCTGGAATGTTTGTATATTCTAATTCCCTTCTGCTAATACTGCCAGTCTACCCAGAGAGTGTGAATTTATGGACTGTGAGCGGATTCGCCCCCTTCTTCCAAGTGAATGAAGCGCAGTTTTGGGAGATGGCTCCGTCCAGCCCAAGAGCTCTGACGCTCCAAGTCTGAATTACGGGAATGTCAGCATTAGCTTCTGAGATTATTGTTCACTTTGAACTGGGTTGATTTTGTCCTCAGGTGGCCATTTGGCAATGTCTAGAGGCATTTTTGATTGTCCTAACTAGCTGGACGTGCGACTGACATCTATCTCCTGGTCAAGCCTCAGTCGAGAGACCCTTCCTTTGGCTATAGTTTGAAAGATCCAACAATTTTTCTTTTTGGGGTCACCTCTTTAGCTAGCTAATGACAACATTAACCAGGGTCAGTATTTTAGCTTTGTGTATATAATGCGTATAACCACATGGTGCTACGTCTAGGATACATAGTTACTTCAAGTTTAAGTACTTCCATTTGTAGAATTTGCCTAATAAAATTACTTACTGACTCATGTGTTTTTCGCAATAGGACAAGTTATAATTATGGAATTTTATAAATCATCGCCATTGTTTTTCTGTTTGGCTTTTACCGGAGCTCAGCCAAATTAATTTTCTAAAAAGCATTAATGACACCAGAGTCATGTGGGATCATCCAAGGGGATTTGCGTTCAAGATTCCAAAATTATTTTTGTGGTAGCCAAGGTCAGATAATCTTTTAACCGATGTAATAGCTTGTCTTTAATACCCAATTTTTTAAAGGAAAAAATTATTCCCCGTAGGAGTTTTGATGGATGACACTACGTTGAAGTTCTATGATGTTGTTCCTGGTGGAATTATTTCATTATGTATCTGGCATTATGACGGATGGACAGAACTCGTGGTGGCGGCCGTGGAAGGGGATCCGAGCAAGGTGCTTTCACGCTTCTTTAAATGGATATTATCCTTTATGAAGCAGCCGTAAAGGGGAGAGGAAAAAAAAATCAGTCTTTAATATGGATATGTGAGGAAAAGTTTCAGAGTAGGAAAGAAGATAACGACCCATGTCATAATTTTCAGGCTCGGTGCCTGTAGCTCAAGCGGCTAAGGCGCCAGCCACATATACCACATAATCTTCAGATGCCACAGCTAGCATTTTCATTCACTCTCTGGGTTTACTTATTTGTGACTTATAACCCATTTGCCACCCCTCCCCCAGGAGCCAAGCTAGTGCATTTCCTATTCATGTGTGTATTGTATAAAGTTGGAAATCTAATTTAACACTGAGTGAAGAACTCCAGATAACTTGGAAATGTGCAGCCCGGCGCTCAGGGGCTTATGTGCACAGCACTGCCCAGAGCTCTTTGGATAAGCCGCAGGAGCCTTGCTCTCATCTGGGCCCTGGGGGTGGCAGTCGGGGGCGGCAGGGGGGGATCAAAACCAGGATGTTTACCCAGCAGGAAAGATGAATCACTCTGACAGGGGTTGAGTGTACATTCTTCCTAGAGAAGAGGTTCAGAAGGAAAGTCACAGCATGTGGGGAAGAGGAGGCAGACAGTTGGCTTGCTGGGAAAGGGGTCCTGGAGGCTGAGCACAGGAGGGTGCTGGGATGAGGCCGGCCGGGAGGGAGGGCGGGCTCTGGGGAGGACCGCAGCAGCTCCCCAATCGCCCAAGTCCTTGCAGCTGCCCACCAGCCTTAGCGTCCCTTCATCTTCCACAGCCTTCCCCTTTCCACTAGCGACTTGGTCCCAGCCTCAAAGTGGGGTTACTTCCCTCCTGTCTGAGGTCTTGGGTCAGAACTGTTGTCACCTTTTCTTGCTTCTGTCCCCTCCCAAGACGCCCCCCCCCACACACACCTTCGACAGAGCCCCTCCCTGGGGGAATGTGCCCTCCTCCTAAGCTCACATACCTACTGTACCCCAAGACCACTGTATTACAGGGCTGTTTATCTGTGAGTAGAGTTCAGAGTGTCCCCAAGGTTAATGAGACGAGGGGCACAAAACCAAATGGAACGGCGAGGAGCTGTCAAGCCTCCAAAGCCGCCCGCTCCCCTCTGGGGCGGCCACCGTGTGTTAGCCGCAGCCACCTTCCTCGGGACACCCAGCAAAGTCATCCTCTCTCTTCAAAACCTGGGCAAGAAGGCTCAGCTGATGGCCAGTTTGAGTTTTCTGAGCACATAGAGAACATTGAACAGCACCCTCCTGGGACCCCCCACCCCACTTCTCAGCTGGGGTTCGCACCTCCCTCTTCCCACCATTCATCCCCGGAGAGTGCCCCATCAGCCCTCCAGCAAGTGGTGTCTGCACTTTTGAGAATGATGCAAACTCTGTCTTGCCCAGCTGTCTTGTCTTGGTGTCACTGAAGACTCCTTCTTCCGAACTCCAAACTCAGAACGTTTTGGAGCTGAAGAATTGAAGCAGTGGATGGCTCAGAGGGCGTTCGTGGCGTTGTACATCGGCTCACACAGAGGCAACGCCGAGGCCGTGCAGTACCTGCTAGAACAAGGTAGTCCTGTTAGGGAAGCGCAGCGTTCAAGAGTTGGAGTCGTTTCCTGGTATGGAGAACAGAGGGTCTGTCTTGGCTTCCCCGGCCCCTTCAGCAGTGGACCTGTGTCCTGTGTTGGCCCCCAGTTAATCCCCATTGTACTGCTCACTCCCTGTCTGGCCAAGTGTCCTGGGACATGCCAGCCAGAGGGTGTGCTCCTTAACTAGGTCTCAAGAAGATTCTTTCTGTTATGGTGAAATGGGAATCTCAGGGAGCAGCTGAAAGTCCCCTGGTTTGCTCTTTCCCACTGGACAAATGTCTGGGAACATCTCCGTGCTCTCTGCCTGACTTTGAGCCTCACCTCCAGTTGGGGTTCTGTGACCTTCTGGAATGGTCTAGTCCCTGCCGTTCGGTGATGGTTGGAAGGCTGGACAATCTCCTCACTCCAAGCCTTGTAATTATTTCCTCAGGAAATATTTGCTGTGGCCTCTTTTCTTACTCCATGTCCACGTCCACTTCTGGGCAAGCCTGCCTTTCTCTCTCTCTCTCTCTCTCTCTCTCTCTCTCTGTTGATAGGAGCCTTATCTCCCATTGTCTCTGAATTAAAGAGCTTTGTTTCTGTGGGGATTTGGGATTACACTTTGTCTTCCCTGAACGTGGGATATTTTTGGGAAGAGGTTCCCACTGATTGAGATGTAGACCTTTCAGGAACAACAGACGAGAGTTGCAGCCAGCCCAGGACATGGACTTTCTTGGAAAAAGGAAGAACATGGTATTGATATGTGGCGTTTGGCCAGTGGTTTGGTGCTCAGATGGGGCCTGCGGGGGTCTCCCACACCAACCAGCCTCCAGATGAAGCCCCCCTCCTCTCCCTCCTGCAAGCTTGGCCCCAGCCTCGGCCCCAGCCTCTCTCTCAGCTCAGTCTCTGCTATTTTTTCCACCGTCACCAAGCAAAGTGGAAACCATCTTGGATATCTGGGGCTGGATGATTGGGCCCCGCGGTGGTGTGTGAACCTCTGTGATGGGCAAACGTTGCCTTGATTGCATTCCTCACCGTCCTCCACTGCCTTTCCGCGCTGTTCCTGTTATTAAATGAAATATGGGCTTTTCACAGCCGAGCAGTCCTTTAAGCTCATGAGAAGTCATTTTCACTCTGATGGAACTGTGATGTATTTGAAGGTACCAGTTAAAAAAATCATAGCCAGCTTTGCAAAGTTTTCTGTCCTCTGCAGACAGCTGCTGCAAGGAGGCCCCATGGTTGGTGCTGGAATTATGAGAGCCTATTTAGAACTTTGCCTCACCACCCAGCCATAGCTCATAAGAAGGGGCTACCGAAATGTCAGCTGAATTTAATTAAATTGCCTTGTTTTCTGGGTCATAATATTTGTTACCTAGAATTTGATTCAATTCAACAAGTCCATATTGGACACCTGTCATTAGCCATCCATCTGCAGGAGGCGGTGAGGAATTCAATCAAAGCAAGACCCGTCCAGGAGTCAAGCTGCCCGCTGACTGTCATTTCCCCAGTATCTGTCTTCTCCAGACACAGGGCTACGTGCCGGCGATGAAAACAACAGTAATCAAAACAAGTGTGTTTTCTGCCCTTGTGGAGTTTATGAGGGAAAGTCAACAGATTATTACACATAATTAAGTTCACGGTCATTTCTGTGCAGGGTGTTCTGAAGAAGACTGAGCCATTATAGGGGGTTTCAGCGGGGGAATCTAGGGAAGGTATCCCTGAAGAGTGAATGGCACCTAAAGAAGGGTCAGAGTCAGCCCAGGAAAAATGGTGGTGGTGTCATTAGCAGAGGGAACAGCATGTGCAAAGGGCCTGGGACAGGATGCAAAGCAGGGTTATTAAAGGGATAAAGATAGAAGGCAGGGCTCAGTGGAGGCTTGGTGGTGGGACAGAGAGGAAAAGCATGGTGGAGAAGGGGGTGCTGGAGCCATAAGGGGGAGATCGTCACCAGGGCTGGCGATTACAGTGAAGAGATTCAAGCAGGAGTGTGATAGGAACATTCCAGAAAGCTCATTGGCTGCTGCAAGGGGAACAGACTGGCAGTGAGTCAGTGTTGGAGCTGAAGGCAGATAGCAGTGCCCCACCACCCCAGAGCACTCCCTCAGAGCCCTGGTCCCTCTGGGCCCTCTCCAGGTCCTTTCTGGTCTCCAGCCAGCTTTCTTATTTTACAGGAGCCAACTGTATGGCCAAGTCGCCCCTGGGCAGGACGCCCCTGCACGTGGCTGCAGCCATGGGCCGCTCAGACTGCATCAACCTCCTGCTCAAGTTCGGGGCCTCCAGCCAGGAGAAGGACGCCAAGGGGGAGACACCCATCAACGTTGCCCACCGCCTCAGCCGCAGGCAGAGCGAGCGGCGAATGTTTCTCTTCCACTGGCTGTCGCGGTCAGGGGCCAAGGAGCCCAGTGAAGTGATCATGAAGAAGTTCACTCAGAGTGCCAATTCTGAGTCGAGGCCCAAGAGGAAGAAGACCCCAAAGTAGCTCCGGGGTGGGGGAGGGCATTTGCCTGCCCAAGCCGACGTGGGCAACTCTGCAGAGTTTAATCCCACGGTGGCCCTTGGTGAGCAAAAACTGCAGGAAAACATGGCAATTAATCTGAACCAGATACTAAATTATCCATCCTGTTTGCAAATGACTTTGGGGAGTGTTGATGGAAGTAGGTGAGTTTGTGTTCATTTAGTAATCCATTACCGACCTCACAGGCGCGAGGCCAGCCTTTAATTTTAAGCTATTTGTACATTGAATCCAGTAACGCTGCTGGGGTGAAGGGAGCCAGTTACCTCCTCCCCCTTACGGAGACTGTCTAATGCACGGCGTAATAGGAGTAATAACTATAATGATAATAGCACTATTGTTATTGCACAAAACAAGTGCCAGCGAATGTCGGGAGGTCGTGTAGAGTGTGGGCTGTGAATTTTGGTTTATACACCCATAGAACCAAAGCTGCTCGGTGAGTAATGTTCTGGAAGTTTCACTGAGCCGTCCTCGAGGGGTCTGCTTCTTGAGTTGGGGGGCAGAAATGAAGTTGGAGTGAACTGGGTTCTCCAAACATCTTCTGCAAAGGGGGCATCTCGTGACTCCTGTTGGAAGGTGACACTTTGGCATCGGATGTAGAGGAGATGGTTGGTCCCCAGGGCAGAGGAGCACAGTGGGCCATGCCTCTCCTCCTGTCCCCACCCTGGTGCTTAGGGCAGTCCCTGCCACCAGCTTTTTCCTTCTTCCCTTGGGCCAGGACACCTAGGAGCATCTACACTCAACTTGTGACTCTCTCTGCATCACAGAATCTCAGCTTGGCCCTAGGGTGAGCTGGGATCGGCCTGCCCCATGGGCACCTGAGCGGGTGTGGGAGATGAGAGGCCTGGACAGCTGTCCAGAGAGGGCACCATCACTCAGTCTCAGTGGACATGCCAGCCAAGGACTGCTAGGCCTCTCCAGAGCTTTCCAATAATCTGGCTTTTTGATGAGACAACTCCTGACTTTTCACTGTTGACTTGAATTTTTGAGGAAAGGAACACGATGGAGGTGGAGACTGTGGGCCAGCCTCTCCTCATCACACTCCAATTCTTTTTGCTACGAAAAGTGGTAGAAACACTGTCTCCTTGGAATCACCCTCCAGGTGGCCGTGGGTCTTACCGGGGAACACGCATCCTCCTCTCCTCCCACCGACCCCCAGACCTTCGTGTTTCTCTGAAGCTCTGTCTTCTCACACAGCTTCTGGGATCTAAGTGTGTAGCCGTGGTTTCTTGACCATGGAAGTTCTGTTTTCCAGGTCACGGGAAGTGACCCTGCATCCTGGCTGTCCTTCTTTCCGACTTACATCCCAATATCGGGGTCAGCTTTTAAATTAATTGGCCACATTTCCTGCTGTCAGAGCGAGTGAGATCGGTGTGGAGGATGTGGGTTTATACTCAGTATATGTGGCTGTGCACAGCTCAGCAATCTGTTTGACAAGTAATAGGGAAAAATAGCCCGGCATCACCTGTGTCAAAACGGAGATCTTGTTTTTGGCAGATGTACTGCAGAGTCCATACGCAGGTATTAAGTGACCCCCCAACCCAAGGGGTCAGGTCATTTGGCTAATGAGGCATGTTCAGGGTGTGACTTGGCACCTTTTTCACTGAACAAGTGGTGTTACTCGAAGTCATGTGTTTGCCAGGTGCTTCTAAACCATCTTTTTCGTTAGGAGTGCCAACTGCCTGACACTTGTAATCTGAAAATTTGGGGACAAGCCCAGTGCCCCCAATGCAGTTAAACACTTGGCCAGAGGCTGGGCAAGTTCCAAACTCTCCGTGGTGGCATTTCCCTCAGTGTGAGGCAGGACCGTTTGGACGGCAGGACCCGTGTGAGGTCCTGGGTAACTGGTCATTTCAGGCCTCCTTGACATCCTATCTATTGTATTAAAGCAAATGTCTGTCACATACCAAATAAAATACGTCCACAGCCATAGAGGAGTTGAGTGATTTGTTTTATTTTGTAGATATTTCATTAAATGTTTATTTGAAGGGAAAAAAAAGGTTTCATACTTTGGGAGCCACCAAAAAAACGTTTGGGGGGTTTGCGTGGTGTCTTTGGGGGTCTATCTCAAAGATTGTCAGAGGATCGTGATGTCCTCACAGGCTGAGGCCCTGGGGTGGCCTGGCACGGTGACACAGCTGTGGTCTGCCCTTGCCGGGCAGGTCCCACCTTTGCACAGAGAGGAGACGGGCCTCCTCTTAGAAGGAAATCCAGCCAGCCTTTTGGGCTGTGATCTCTCGCTCCTTCACTAGATCGTGTTCTCACGTGGGGCTGACCTTTTCATTCCCAGAGGGGAGGAGCTGCTGGTGTGGGGGGAGAGATACAGGCTTTGGGGGCAGTGTAGACCTCAGACTGAATTGTGCAGGATCAGGCATGGGCCTTGGGTGAGCTCCCTACTTCTCTGAGGCCAGGAGTCTTCTGCAGAGAAGGGTGGGAGGGTCAACATGGCACCTGGTCCCTCGGGTGCTGGGACCCTGAGACGTGAGAAACACTTGATGTTTGCCAGCTATTATTGTCTGGGGTCTCAGCTGGAAAACCTGGCTGGAGTCCTGCGTGAATTTATTGGCACCAGAGGGAGAAAGAAGATGGGAGACTCACTCGTTGCCTTTCCTGCACTCTTAGGTCTCATCACCAACAAACTGATGAGCTGACCCTGTGAGCTTAGTGCCCATAAACGTGCCATTGCATCATGTCCTTGGGTGTCTTAGAGGCTGACTGAGGGAGAATCCCTCCTCATCTCGTCATCACTGCCGGGAACTTGCCCGCTAGCAAGCCCCCTGCCGAGCAGCCCGTGGGAACTGGAGAGAGGCACATACTTGCCAGGAGCAGACAGGACGACAGCTCTGCCAGCCATCGTGTTTCCACCTGCCTCGGCCGCTGGGATGCTCAGAGCCGTGATTATCACCCACGGGGTGCAAATATCCCACTTGCCTCCGCACCCCTTGCCTTTATTCTTCCCCTGAATGAGTTGAGTTATACTCTCCCTCCCCAGAAACGTGTCTTGTGTGTGTGTGTGTGTGTGTGTTTAACTGTAAGTTGCTTCCTTTCTGGAAGTAACGCAGTAGATATCAAAGAGAGGTGACACAAAGTGTGGGTTTTAGAAGGTGACTTGAGTCTCTCACCCAGGACAGGCCTGGCTGACCCAGCCACCTGGCCATCCAGCCTTCCCAGTGGCTAAACAAAGATGCTTGCTGGGCAGTCTTCCCGCACTCCTGTCTACCAGGTTGGTCTCCAGCACCCCTGGAACTAGGGGTGGGGCCTCCTCTCTGGACCCTACATGGCTGGGTCCCTCGGGCTCCACCTGGCCTTTGGAGCTTTGCCTTCTCTCTGCAAAGATTCCCTCAGAGGCTTCCTGGGTGCGTGAGCTCCCGCACCGTCCCTCCCCCTCTCTCAAACCTGGATGTTCCCTCAGCACACTCACATACCCTGGGTTCCCAGTGGGCAGGGGCGTATCCCACTGGTGGTACCTCAGGGGACTTTTGGTGGCCCTGACACTGTATCAAGTTACACAGAAATCCTGGGCAAGAAAAGGAATGCCTTTTGCTCTGTTCTCAATCCTTTTACCGTCCATAAGGAGAACGATTCCTCTTTGCCCTAATACGCCTCCAACACCTCCCGGCCTCGCCCTCGCTGGTCTCCCTTTGAAAAACACACAGCTGTTTCCAGGCAGCAGCGTCCTGCTAGGATTCAGCACCACTGTCTTTTCAGTGTATTGTAGACCAGGACTCCGTTCCTCTGTCCACTCTTGGCTAGTTGGACTGTGAGACCAACAGTCACCTCCTACGAGCCTCATCACCCCACCCTGCTTGTGAAACGAAATGTCCACAGTGGATCGTGCTCTCAAGACCCAAAGCCCATCAGTGAGATCCCCGCAGTGCAGCGGGAAGGGCCTGGGGTTGTGAGCCTAGAATTTTCCTTTACCAGGAGTTGCGTGTCATGGGCAAGCCATGGCCACTCTCAGAGCCTCAGTTTCTTTCTCTGTGGTTTCTTGGTAATAAAAACCTGCCTCCCGTCATCACTGGAGGGATTAAATGCTTGGCACAGAGCAGACACTTGAAAAATGGTAGCTATTATTATGATGATGACTACCACGACTAAATTTGCTTAAAATGTTTACTCACTGGGAATCAGTACTCCCCTGGTCCCCTGATAGCCTCAGAAATTTTCAGCAAACCCTATACAATAAGAGTCTCTGTCCAGAACTAATAATTCCCAAAGTGGGAGATAAATAATTTCCCTTAAACTTGCTGATTTTGGTATTAAGTAGAGGGCTTTCTCAGCAACTTGCAAAAAGTGCGTTCTGAACTTGAAACTCCAGGGCCAGTTCTGCAGAGGAGAAAAAAAAAAAAAAAAACCTGTAAGGCGAAAGGAAAATTCCAGTCACTGCGCCCAGCCTCCGCAGTGCGCATGGACTACAGATGCCGCCAGCAGAGGGCACAGAAACCCATTAACATTTAGAAAAAAGCCGGTGTTTGTGTTCCTCTGAAATGTCAGAGATGCTGCAGTCTGCGTCACTTGGAAAACTCTAGAGCGGGCTCAGCAACAGGGGGTCGCAGACGAGCGTTTCTGCCTGAACCCTTGAAATCATCCACACAACGTGGGTGTCTGTACATACACTCCTTCTGGGGAGAGCTGTCACACGTCTCATCACATCCTGAAAGGGTCCGTGGACCACTCCTGCCCCCACATGCCAAAACCTGGTCACAGAACACCAAGCTCCACCACACCAGTTGTCAAAGTAATCCAATCAATGCATCGCATGATGTCACCCTTCACCCTCCCAGTGCTTTGCGTTATCAAGTTATAGCTGGAAAAATGATAAATACTGGTAACATCTGGGGCTGTGATGTGTGTGTGTGTCAAATATATCAGCATAGTAGAAGGGAGTTGGAGACCCCTACAGCCTTGCAGGATTACTACCTGACCACATGCATTAAAATGCCTGTGAGTCAGCCCAGCCACCCCAC